AACCCTGCCGTACGCCTTTCCCAATCCTGAACCAGTCCGTTTTTCCATGGTCAGTTCTTAGTGTTGCTACTTAGTCATTATACAGATTCCTCAGGAGAGAGACAAGGTGATTTGGTATGCCCATACCACCAAGTACTTGCCACCGTTTATTATGATCCATACAATCAAAGGCTTTAGAACAGTCAATAAAACAGAAATCATGTTTTTCTGAAACTCCCTGCCTCTCTATGTTCTATGTTTAATATGATTTTAATTGGTTTAATTTATAGTTATATGTTATCGTTTTAGTTATTATGCTTGGTTTTGTATATATGTTGGAATTGAATCTTGTTATTATTTGACGTACACCATTTTGAGTTTCCCCAGAGGTGAGAGAAGTGGTATATAAACACAGTAAATAAATATCACTAGTTTCAGATCTTGTTGGGCAACTATCCTATTTGTATGGATTCGGAAAGGAGCCGTTGCTTCCCTGGAGCTTGGTTCCCCTTTGTTTACACCGTTGCTTTAAGAACCAATGCTGGTGGTCTTTGCTTCTTCCAGCATGCTGACATTTGTCTGCTTGTCTTCCCAAGAGATTTGCAGGATTTTTCAGAGGCAACGCTGATGGAATCATTCCAGGAGTTGCATGTGATGTCTGTAGACAGTCCACGTTTCGCAGGCGTATAGCAGGGTTGGGAGGAGAATAGCTTTATAAACAAGCACCTTGGTCTCCCTACAGATGTCCGGTCATCAAACACTCTCTGCTTCATTTGGAAAAATGCTGCACTCACAGAGCGCAGGAAGTTGAATTTCAGTGTCAATGTTGACTTTTGTGGAGAGGTGGCATCTGTGGACAAGTCTACATAGGGATCACCAAATGCAGCACCCAAACACGAATTAAGGAACATAGAAGGCACTGCAGAAAAGTCAGCCATAGCAGAGCACCTGATGAACCAACCTGGACACAGCATATTATTTGAGAACACAGAAATGCTGGACCACTCTCACAACCACCATGTCAGACTACACAGAGAAGCCATTGAAATCCATAAGCATGTGGACAATTTCAACAGAAAGGAGGAAACCATGAAAATGAACAAAATCTGGCTACCAGTATTAAAAACTCTAAAATTACAACAGCAAAACAACAGAGAGGAAACAATCAGGGACAGCTAATCACCTCTCAACAAAAGATTCCCTCAGGCACCAACAAGCCACACCAAAAAACTGCCAGGCCATCAAATGCTAATCAAAGCGGTCAGTTGAAACAGTCACACTTAGCTCCAGCAGACAAGAGTTCTTTGTCCCACTCTAGTCATTCCACAGATATATAAAGCCAATTTTCCTAGTTCCAACCGACCTCACTACCTATGAGGATGCTTGCCATAGATGCAGGCCAAACATCAGGAGAGAATGCCTCTAGAACATGATACTGGAATGGCTTGAAACAAGAACACAAATATAGGTGAAAGGTGGCCTTGGACAATGGTGAGTCTGCCCAACAGAGACAATGGTAGATTAGAACCATTCCATTCACTTTTGCATAATATAACTAAATATGTACTTGAAACCAATGGGTCCATTTGGTGGGAACATGGCAGAGGGCCTTCCCAGTGGCTGTTCTCAGGCTCTGAAAGTCCCTTCCCAGACAAGAGATCTTTAATGATCTTAAATCCCTTTAATGATTTTCCACAATTGGGTGGAGACTTTTTTCTTCCAAGAGATCTTTGGATATTGATTTTGCAGCCATGTATAATTTATTGGAGTCTTATTTCTTTTAATTGTTCTTTAATTTGTTATCAAATCAGTTCTCTGTTTTAATTGTCTAAATGTTTGTTTATGTTGTTATTGTTTATTCATTCAGTCGTTTCCAACTCTTCATGACCTCATGGACCAGCCCATGCCAGGGCTCCCTGTCAGCCGTCACGACCCTCAGCTCCTTCAGGGTCAAGCCAGCCACTTCAAGGATACCATCCATCCATCTTGCCCTTGGTCGACCCCTCTTCCTTTTTCCTTCCATTTTCCCAAGCATCATTGTCTTCTCTAAGCTTTCCTGTCTTCTCATGATGTGGCCAAAGTACTTCATCTTTGCCTCTAATATCCTTCCCTCCAATGAGCAGTCAGGCTTTATTTCCTGAAGGCTTTTGCGCTTTCGTCTATCACCTTGATTAGAAGACTCCTCAACGCCTTCTTGCTTTCGGCCATCAAAGTGGTATCATGTGCATATCTAAGGTTGTTAATGTTTCTTCCAGCAATTTTTACCCCAGCCTTGCATTTGTCAAATACTGCACATCGCATGATGTGTTCTGCATACAAGTTGAATAGGTTGGGTGAGAGTATACAACCCTGCCGTACGCCTTTCCCAATCCTGAACCAGTCCGTTTTTCCATGGTCAGTTCTTAGTGTTGCTACTTAGTCATTATACAGATTCCTCAGGAGAGAGACAAGGTGATTTGGTATGCCCATACCACCAAGTACTTGCCACCGTTTATTATGATCCATACAATCAAAGGCTTTAGAACAGTCAATAAAACAGAAATCATGTTTTTCTGAAACTCCCTGCCTCTCTATGTTCTATGTTTAATATGATTTTAATTGGTTTAATTTATAGTTATATGTTATCGTTTTAGTTATTATGCTTGGTTTTGTATATATGTTGGAATTGAATCTTGTTATTATTTGACGTACACCATTTTGAGTTTCCCCAGAGGTGAGAGAAGTGGTATATAAACACAGTAAATAAATATCACTAGTTTCAGATTTTGTTGGGTAACTATTCTATTTGTATGGATTTGGAAAGGGGCCATTGCTTCCCTGGAGCTTGGTTCCCCTTTGTTTACACCGTTGCTTTAAGAACGCAGTTCCGAACCAGATCCAGTGCTGCCCATTCCGTTGCCACGGTCCGGTGGAAGGGAGACATTCTGCTTCCCTGACTCGGTCTGTCTTGGTTTGTTTCTTCTTGTTTCGGTGAAAATGGCCTTCCGGGTCCTACTCAAAGTAAGTATGGTCAACAAACATTAAGGCCATAAGGTTTTAAATTTTTGTGTGTGATTGCTTATATGTGAGTTATATTAATTGTACTGTTTTATTTTCTTGCTGTCTTGTTGTTTTACTGTTGTGTTGTTGGGCTTGGCCTCATGTATACCGCCCTGAGTCCCCTTGGGGAGATGGTGGCAGGGTTATTTTATTTATCGTGTCATCCGCAACCAGAACATTGTATTACATTTCTAACAGAACAAAACAAACAAACAGATTAAAAAAAAACACAAATTTTGCAAACTTGGTAGCTGATTAAATGTCCTTTGACCAGTATCTGGCCACTTGGAGTGCCTCTGGTGTTGCCGCAAGAAGGTCCTCCATCGTGCATGTGGCAGGGCTCAGGTTGCATTGCAGCAGGTGGTCAGTGGTTTGCTCTTCTCCACACTCGCATGTCGTGGATTCCACTTTGTAGCCCCATTTCTTAAGATTGGCTCTGCATCTCGTGGTGCCAGAGCGCAGTCTGTTCAGTGCCTTCCAAGTCGCCCAGTCTTCTGTGTGCCCAGGGGTGGGGAGCCTGCCACTTTTGGACTCTCGCTTGCTGAGGTGTTCCAGCGAGTGTCTCTGTAGATCTTAGAAAACTATTTCTTGATTTAAGTCGTTGACGTGCTGGCTGATACCCAAACAAGGGATGAGCTAGAGATGTCTCTGCCTTGGTCCTTTCACTATTGGCTGCAACTTCCCGGCGGATGTCAGGTGGTGCAATATCGGCTAAGCAGTGTAATTTCTCCAGTGGTGTAGGGCGCAGACACCGTGTTAATGCGGCATGTCTCATTAAGAGCCACATCCACTGTCTTAGCGTGGTGAGATGTGTTCCACACTGGGCATGCATACTCAGCAGCAGAGTAGCAAAGCGCAAGGGCAGATGTCTTCACTGTATCTGGTTGTGATCCCCAGGTTGTGCCAGTCAGTTTTCGTATGATATTTTTTCTAGCACCCACTTTTTGTTTGATGTTCAGACAGTGCTTCTTGTAGGTCAGAGAAGGTGGCGGGGTATAAAGTATTATTATTATTATTATTATTATTATTATTATTATTATTTATTAAGGCCAATACTCATATCTTCTCTGAGTATCATCTCATGGCCTTCCAGTCTCCACCCCCAGCTCTTGCCCATTAAAAGGTCATTTTCATCATAATAACTATCAAAATATTTGTTTTAGATCCTAATTATCTAAACATGTAATTTAATCTGTTAGTAAGTTAGCATTGGATATGCAAGCACTTAATATGTTTCGTTATCATTTCTTCATTTTTGAACTATACACAAAGTTTGTATATCTCTATTTAAAAAAATATCTAAAAATAGTAAGAGTGATAAAAAAACCCATATCCATTTTCCAAAGTTTCTTAGGTGATAGAGGATGTGGGGGGGGGGGGGGGGGGGGGGGGGGGGGGGGGGGGGGTAAGATATATAGTTATAGAAATAAAAGCAATAATAAGTTTCTTAAAAGTGTTTTTAGTCAGCATATCCTATTATAGTCATCTTCTTCTGATTTTTTATAAATTCCTTGAAGAGTTTCCATTTTCCTGAAATGTTTGGGTGTTTGCCTGTTGTAAAGCCAAAACAGCACTGGCCCCAAAACAACTGCTCTTGCAAGGCGACTCCCTCCTCTTCCCTCTGACCTTGTCCTCTTTTCTCCTTTGCAGAACATCAGGAAGTTTTATGAGGATTGCTTTTCATGCTGCCGGAGGAGGAGAAGTAATCGAGTGGCTCCAGCCAGGTATCCCCCTTTCTCCTTCTCGTCTACTTGGTTTAATTTAATTCACGGGTGTTTTAGTGACCATCCTTGATCAAGTTCAGTTGCTGACATTTTGCTGTTTTCTCTTCTTTTCTAGTGAACCTGATGAAGTGAAAGTATCCTCCTCCGAGGACTCCTTGGATTTGGAGACCTGGGTAAGGAGGGAAAGGCAGGAGCACTGTACTTCTGCGAAGAGGAGAAGATCAGAATTTGAACAAAGTCTCCTCTCTCTCGTTTGCAGCGTTTCTGGAGAGTATCCGCACCGCAGCCCGACCCTGACGCAAGGAGTGAGGACTCCCTTCAAGAGGAGTCCTTTGAATCCTGGGTAAGGAGCAAAAGGCAGGAGGACTGTCTCTCTGCCAAGGGGAAGGGGAGGAAGTCTCCCAAGTGTCACTTTGCTCTTCTCTTTCTTTCGCAGTGCACCATCACGAAGACATCCAAGGAAGACCTGCGCACGGACGCACTTTGGAGCCAGCAGCCTCAGAAAGAGAAGTAACTTCTTCTCCCTTTTTGGGTGGGGTTGGGTCGTCGCGTGGAGCTGGAGGAGTCTTTGGATTTTAAGTTCTTACATGTTTATTTTTTGTTTCTCTTAGTGCAACATCAGATATTCAAATTGAAGATTTAGAGTAAGAAGAAGATCTGAGACTGCTGGCTCCAAAGTGTGTCCGTCGCGCTGCCCAGGATTCAAAGGACTCCTTGGAATGGGGTCCTCACTCCTTTCCTCCCGGTTCGGCTGCGGTGCTGATACCATCCAGAAACGCTAAAGCAACAGATTGTCCTCCTCCTGGTAAAAAAATCCTTGTTTTATATTGTGTATGATTTCTATAGTTTATTTTTTACTAAAAATGTAAAAAGTAGTATAATACTCCTGCCTTTTGCTCCTTACTCAAGAGTCATGTAAATGTTTTTCTCTCAACAGGCTTAACTCAATCCTCAAGACCCAGAGAAGAGGAGGAGGATGAGTGACGGCTCGCTGCGCCTCTCCTCTGCCCGGGATCAGCAAGGCAGAGCCTCGCTCCTCAGGAGAGACGAAGGATATTGGAGTTGAAGCCCAGATGCTCTTCAAGCAGCTGAAAATCCACTTGGAACAGGAATGGAAGTACCAACCACGAGAAAAGGGGCTGAGCTTGATTGAGTGTACTGCTGAGAATGAAAACACCATATGCCCCAGACTGCGAAATGCAAAGGTGGAAGATCTCTGGAGTCTGACAAACTTCTTTGGATTTGCCACTGAAACATTTGTCTTGGCTGTCAACATTCTAGATAGATTTTTGGCACTTATGAAGGTGAAACCTAAGCATTTGTCCTGCATTGGCGTCTGTTGTTTTCAATTGGCTACTCAAGTGGTTGAAGAGCAATGCTATATCTTTTTGTGCTTCTATATCCAAGATTCTTTGTATAGCACCCTTTCTTACCTGGTCATTTGAGGCGCAGGAGACAGGAAGCCCACAACTTCTTATACAATTTGTCAGATGTGTTGGGATTAGGGTACCTGGGTTTTTAGCTTAAGTATTAGATTCAGGCTAGCCTTTGCTCTGAGAACACTCCTTTGAGTGTTCTCTTTCTTATTGTGATATGGCCTAAGGGCTAATCAACAAAATTATTTACTTACTTATTTGTTTTATATAGTACTTTTATAATGTTTTATACCGGTGTCCGTTTATACTGTGTTATATTGTTGCTTTTTAGTGTTGTAAAAAGATAGGGGAAATTATAAATGACTGTTCACGGATGGGTCTATGGACCGTAAAAAAAAATGTTGTTGTATATACTATAGTTATTTTTTGGATATTGTTCTATCTGTGTGAATATGAATTACCTTTTTTCTGAGCATTGATAAACAGATGGATGGATGGCATAAGTACAGATGAAAATTTTATGAAGAATTACTATAATTTAGATTTCGTGGTTAATTGTTTCTCACTTGTTTCACATTAAAACTGAGGATCTTCCAAGGTTGCCTTTGTGCTCTCTGATGATCAAGGCCTTACAATTACAAGGGAAAGCTTGGAATTGATTACGAGGCTCAGGCTCCTTCTACAATGCTATATAATCCAGATTATCACAGCAGATAATCCACATTATCTGCTTTTAACTAGATTATATTGGTCGACACTGTCATATAATCCAGTTCAAAGTAGATAATGTGGATTTTATATGGCAGTGTAGAAGGGGCCTCAGTCCAAACTCACAACATAGTTGCTGCTCCTGCTCCTGAGGGAGGCCTGCCTGCAGGTATGTTTTCATAAAAAAACAAAGGATTTATTGCATAAAATAACAACTAAAACAGAAAACATTCTGCCTAACATGAAACATTTTTTTGCCTTGGAGAACTCAACTATAATACTATCTTAATATTGTTATATCCATGTCTTAATATTGTTATATAGATACAAAGAATCATAGAGTTGGAAGAGACCTCATGGGCCATCTAGTCCAACCCCCCTGTCAAGGAGCAGGAAAATTGCATTCAAAGCACTCCCGACAGACGGCCATCCAGCCTCTGTTTAAAAGCCTCCAAAGAAGGAGCTTCCACCACACTCCAGGGCAGAGAGTTCCACTGCTGAACGGCTCTCACAGTCAGGAAGTTCTTCCTAATGTTCAGATGGAATCTCCTTTCTTGTAGTTTGAAGCCATTATTCCGCGTCCTAGTCTCCAGGGAAGCAGAGAACAAACTTGCTCTCTCCATATCCATGCTTTTGTTTGATGATTCCTGAGGGATCATAAAAACAGTGGTCTGGATGATTCAACATTTCTGATTATTTCATGACCCCTTTCTCCTCTGCATTCTATAGTTCATATCTTCCCTTTCCTAGTGAACATAGGATCTCTGTCAAATTCCTGATGTGCCTTGCAGATAATTTCCTTCTAAAAAGGTGAATCAAGGAACAATGGGATCATCAATCTTGAATTTGATTCTAATCAACAGGGAACAGTTGGTTCCTGGAATCAATGCAGTTGGTACATTGGAGGGATGTGTGTATGTGACACTATACATTCAATATTGTGAGTCAGCCTAAAAAAAGAGTAGAGTCAGATAATAAGGTCGACTTTTGGTGCCGAAAATTTGGAGTTTTTTTCTAAGTCCTGTGGATAGCCGAGGGGCACATGGCACGATTCACTAACCATGGATGGCACAAATCAGGAATCAGGAACAGAGAATCTCACCAGGTTGAAGGCAAACCACAGAGGCTTTATTCAATTTGTGCATAACAAAAGAAGGGGTAGGGGGTATTCATCTACTATAAATCCCACCTCCTAACACCAATATTACAGAAGAGAAAGCAGGCTTGTTATACACTATTATAGATCAACCCCGCAGATGCCACCAATATAAAGGAATTAAGGGATGCCTTGTGATTAATCTCACCGTCTGTCCACCAGTATAAAAGAATCTTTACATGGGGTTTCCTATATATATATATATATATATATATATATATATATATATATATATATATATATATATCTTCTATTTTTGGGATTTGCTGCCACCACCTAAGCTGTCTTAGGATATTGAAATTGATCCTCTGAAGCAACCCTTTTCCCCGCCAACCCAGCTCTCCCTTAGCTCTCACAAATGACTGAGATATTACGATGTTGAAGAAACTTGAATTATTCCCACAAGAACAAATAACGATTGAGGCGTCTTTAAAAGTTGAATAGAGAAAAGATTGATTGATAAGAACAAACAAACAACTGACTTCTTTAATGAGGCACAAAATCTTAATTTGTTACTAAGGTACAATATTCTTGATGGTTCCTTTAGAAAGTTACTTGACTTGATCTACTGACAAAATTCCTCACTCTACATTAACGCAGTAGCAGTGAGTTCCCCAGACTAACCTACTCAGGCTGTCTTAAGAGCAATTAGCGCACTCTAATCAGAGTTCTCTACAGCTAATCTACTCTACCCAGAGAGTAAAACACTTGTGCTAACACCCACAAGCAATCAGGAGGCTACTTGACCCTTCTGGCCAATAATGCAGCCTTGCCTGCCACAAACGCTCTCTGTCAAAAACCCGAGGCTCAGAAGTACCTCTCCTCTCTTCAATTCCCAAATTCCATCTCCTTCTCTTTCTTAGAAGCTGTCGCTTTTTCCCTCCCAAGACTTGGCTCCTCCCATCTGTTCTAGCCAATCCTAGGATACCTCCAGCTCCTCCCCTCTTCTAACTTTACCCTCTCAAGATGTCTGCTTCCCTGCTTACACTCCCAAAATGGAGGCCTGCCTCACTGACATCCTAGGCTTCTACTTTGGCCTACAATGTAAGAGTCATTACATTGCGCAAATGGGACAAGTGTAAAAGCATAATCATAAGCAGACAATTTTATACACATAAATTTCCATTCACCAACATTGTCCCATTCTGAAATACTCCCTTTCCCTGATTGGCCAGCGCCGAGAAGCTGGCTGATATTCTCCAGGCCTCTGATTGGTTGGGAGGCGGGTCCAAGGCAGTGCGCGTCACCTGGAAGGAGATCCTCCGTTTCGTCATCACCACCTCTTTCAATCACTGGCTTGGACCCACCTCCTGACCAATCAGAGGCTTCCAATGGACGGGTGGAAGTGATCCAGAGAAGGGAGGACCTCCAGAGACTGTGCCAAACCCTGGGTGGGTGGTGTTGGAATATGGAAAGAAGTCTAAAAGCCGATCTGACAGAATTATGCAGATACTGGATCCTGCTGGAAAACACAATGGATGTTGCTGTCCCAGACATCTTTTCATGACAAGAGACAAAGAAAGAGTCTCAAATATGTATATTTGTTGGTGGGATTGTAACCACAGTTTCAGCCTGGATATAATGAAGGTGTCTTAGATACATTGTAGTGATCTCACTTGTCCCTTGGCTGGGAAGAAGAGAGAGGATCAGCTGGCGATCACTGAATCTGCGTGCCTACATTCAACAAGGCAGCTTTTCTCACGTTCCCATTTCTCATTAATGGGAACACACACATTTCAGGCACCCGTTCCTTTGTTTCTCAGAGGGATATATATATATATATCTCGTGTCATCAGCAACCGGGCATTTGTATTACATTTTTAACAAAAACAAACAAAACACATAATTTGCAAGCTTGGTAGTTGATTAAATGTCCTTTGACCAGTAGTTGCATGTGGCAGGGCTCAGGTTGCATTGCAGCAGGTGGTTTGTGGTTTGCTCTTCTCCACACTCGCATGTCATGGATTCCACTTTGTAGCCCCATTTCTTAAGGTTGGCTCTGCATCTCGTGGTGCCAGAGTGCAGTCTGTTCAGTGCCTTCCAAGTCGCCCAGTTTTCTGTGTGCCCAGGAGGGAGTCTCTAATTTGGTATCAGCCATTGATTGAGGTTCTGGGTTTGAGCCTGCCATTTTGGGCTCTCGCTTGCTGGGGTGTTCCAGCGAGTGTCTCTGTAGATCTTAGAAAACTATTTCTTGATTTAAGTCATTGACATGCTGGCTGATACCCAAACAAGGGATGGGCTGGAGATGTCACTGCCTTGGTCCTTTCACTATTGGCTGCTACTTCCCGGCGGATGTCAGGTGGTGTAATACCAGCTAGACAGTGTAATTTCTCCAGTGGTGTAGGGCGCAGACACCCTGTGATAATGCGGCATGTCTCATTAAGAGCCACATCCACTGTTTTAGTGTGGTGAGATGTGTTCCACACCGGGCATGCATACTCAGCAGCAGAGTAGCATAGC